ATTGCATGGATGTTTTTGTACTGGATGTTCAAAATTTGAATGAATGAAATTTTCGTTTTGTGCACGTTCAGACTTGTTGGTTCTATGCATTAGTATGGGACCTTGCATTAATATTGTCATAATTAATTTGGAAATCAATTCAACCCAAAGTACTTTAATATTCATGTTCAACTTTGATTGGCGCACATCTTGATTACTGCATCCTATTTCTACGAAATCAATCCACCCCCAAGTCATACCGTATGTAGGTATTGCACAACAATTACCAAAATGCAACAAAAATTGCCAAAACAGCATCTGCAACTGGTCTACCCGGGTACCACGAACTAGTCTACCCGGGTAGGATGTACTCGGGTATATCATTACGAGTTACCCGGGTAGACCAGTTGCAGATGCAGCAGCAGGTGCTGTTCAATCCATTTTGTTAGCATCTTGGTAATTGATGTGTAATACAATAACCTTAACTGACTCGGGGAAGGGGTAAATGGGTATGGTAGACATTCGGATTGCACAATACGGAACTAGTGACTCGCTAAACTTAACGGATACATTTCAACAACACAAGAATACAGTTCAACAATACATTTCAACAACACAATACATAACTAATACAAGATAAAGTTTAGGGTACAAGGAAACAAAACAATACGTAAAGTGATTGTCATTACAAAACAAAGTACTACACAAAAACAATACGTAATCATGCTTGTCTTAGTCTCAATGGACATGTACGAATGTTATGTCCAACTTGCTTGCAATGCTTACATCTGCTCTGACTGCTAGAGGGTTGAGACTCAACCCAATCCATCTCATTCTGAATCCTTGAAGACTTTGGTCTTCCTTTTGCACGTACCAACTGAGCATCCGGAATTACAGTAGGCCCAACAACGAATGGAATCAACAATTCATTGCCAATAGGAAACCAGTGTGCAGCATATACTTTAGCAATGGTTGGAATTTTGAAAACATGATCCACATAATCATAATGGTTTAGCTTGGCTACCTTGCAAACTGCTAATACATGACTGCAGGGATATCTCCTTGCTGTAAACCTACCACACTGACATGTACGATTGATTAAGTCCACTCTCATGATGTCACCGACCTCGTGTGTAGATTGATTGTAGGCATCCTCAACCTCAAACAATAACAGCTCACTATCATATATCCTCACACGATAAGTGCCAGCCAATTTATCATTTTTTTGCAACGCTGCCTCAACCTTCTTTGAAATTATCCAACCTTGTGAGATATCTTTTTCAATCCCTTCACGTCTCTTGACGAAATACTCAACGAGTCTACTGAATGTCATCTTGACCAATGCAGATATAGGCAGATTTCGTGCTCCACGAAGCACCTTATTCACACACTCAGATAGGTTAGTTGTCATATGACCAAACCTACGTCCTGTCTCATCATACGACCTGCACCATTGCTCTTTCGGAATCGCATCCAACCATGAAGCAACTTCAGGATTGTTCTCGATAAATTCCTTGTACCTAATGTCGAAATTTATCTTTGAACATGTGTACCCTGCAAAAAACCATGACATATGCATTGGTTAGTGAATTTCATCAACGTTTTCTTCAAATGGTTGAAAATGTGAGTAATTATACCGTACATTACCTAATTTCATCAACGTTTTCTTCAATTCCACATTCCTAAAACGGGTATTGAAGTTGCTTCCGATGTGACGTAGACAAAATACATGATAAGCATATGGAGGCTGCCACCCTCCGTGGTCTTTCACCGCCCTTATGATGCTTCGATGACGATCGGATATTAGACAAATACCATGCCTATGTGTGACATGAAAACGTAAAAGGCTAAGAAACCAGGACCAATCATCCAACCTCTCACCTGAAGGAACAACAACAAAGTCAATAGGGATGAGCTCAGAAATTATTTACAGTATGAAGTGGCAAAGAAGGGTCACATGCTTTCACATACCCCAAAGCAAAATTATTTACTCACCTGGAGGAACAACAACAAAGGCAATAGGGAGCAGAAATCCATCTCCATCCTGAGATGTTGCAATCAATAGAGTACCTCTGTACTTCCCATACAGATGAGTGCCGTCAATTTGAATTATAGGCTTGCAGTGTTTGAATGCTTCAATGCATTGGTGAAATGTCCAAAAAACCCTTTGAAATACGGCCCTGTCTGTATAAACCCGACGTTCATCAAAACATTGATTTGTATCAAGTTTGAACACAGAACCCACATTCACCTCCGTCATATACTTCAGCCAATTTGGCAAGAATGCGTACGATTTCTCCCAGTCACCAAACAACTTAACGATGGCCTTCATTTTTGCCTTCCAGGCCTTCCTGTACGTTATGTTGTATCCATATGTTCCCTGTATCCTCTCCTGTATCAGAGCTGGTCTTGTGGATGGATCTTCCTTTAACATATCTGGAAAAAAAAATTAACTTTACCATATTCTCAATTAATCTGAATCATTAAATAAACAGTAGAATACATACTCATTATAGCCGCACAAATGACATTTGAATCCAACTGTCTATGATCATGTGCTAGGCCTTGATTTAGGCATGTGTGACCTTGACCCCATTTACGGACCACCCAGTTAGCTCCCTTCTTCGGCTTAATTGCCCTCATATACCAGGGACAACCGTCAGCATAGTTTTTACACTTCATAACAAATCTTGACTCGTCGCTTTTTTCAACTATGGCTGTCCTGCGCCCCTTCATATAATGTATCTTCACAGCATGTTGCAATTCTGGTTTGGACCCAAATTCTTGTTGCACAAATAACGGATCTCCTAACTTCCAACCTCCGTGCAAGTCATCATCGCCATATAGGATCTCCAACTCGTCATTAGGGTGCGCCCAGTTAATGAATGAATAATGTTGGCTTTCATTCCAGAATGGCTCCTCAGACCCTGCATCTAAAGATCATGTCAAATTTAATAACTTACCACAAATAATAAATTGTCTAAAGCAAATATTCAAATTTAATAACTTACCACTACTGACTGGGTCGACATGAAGTGGTGACAAGGCTGGGGTACCGAGACTTACGACGCTCATGTCAGCCTCAAAATTACCGTCCACGTCAGTGTCTGACGAATCACCTTCTGGAATAGCACTTTCAGGTTCTCCCTCATCTTCGCTGTCCACATAGTCCTCGTCTTCATCCTCTTCATCCTCATCCCGTGCTACCTGAGGAGGTGCAGAAGATCGTACAACTGTATCTTCTTGACCGGTACAGTGTGCAGTAGTGGTTGTATGCACCGGTAAAGATGAAGATTGTCCAACATCAACTTCAACATATATCTCAATATATTTTAATACTTTCTATTCAACAAACGCATCTGTTACGAACTCCACATCTTCATCATCATTTATATCGTTTCCAATGTAGTATATTGTATCCATATCCACTACAGTCTCTAACCTGGCTATCATGCGGTGGATGGAATGTATGCCTTCTGACCCCATTTTTTGAAGAATTCTCTCCTTCAGTTCATTGCATGTAGTGCCCACTTTGATTTTCATCGTTTTTGTTTTTCCTTCAAATCGGACACCGTTCGGACCTTCAAAATGCCTCCCATTGTAGTAAACAACTATAGGAACCATGTTTGGACTTGAACTCATCTTTCACACAAAAATTAGATCTAGGTTTTGGGTTTGGAGGTTGGTTCGGATTTTTTAGCACAAAATGGGAGTGTGGAGATGTAATCTCAATGTCCCACCAAGATTCAGCTTTCTGAAATGATGAGATGAAATATGTGTGATGTTTCGGATTAGAGAGGGTAAGAGAGAAAGATTTGGGGTTTCAAAAACCCTATACCTCGCAACAATGGCCGAAACCCATACATATTGGGGTTTCTAGACGCGATTTACCCGGGTACACTGCTCCGTACCCGGGTAAATAATTCAAACATTTTCCCAGATTCAAGAACTCTACCCGGGTACACCCCTACATACTCGGGTAGATAAAAAGTTTCAAAATTTACCCGGGTAGGTAATGGTGTACCCGGGTAGGCTTCGTGGTCAACAGTCAAACATGGGCAGATTGGTGTTATGTTTGTTGGGGAGGGTAAATTTTCGAAATAGTTTTGAATGAGGGGCAATTTGGTAATTAATTATTAATTAAGGGGCATAAGGGTCAAAAAGCCTCACTCTAATAGTTGATAATAGTCTGAGGGTTAGAACCCTAGATAGGAATATTGGGGTTCTCATCTTGAAAGGGGGTAAGATAACAATTAGTATGCATGCTAGGAATAGATGTATGTTAATTGCGGATGTTTTAATTATCGTATTCATTGCTTAATTCTCATGAGGGGTTACTAAGGGATTAAGATTCCAACTGAGGTTAAAGGGTTAAATTACCAAGGGATTGGAATTTAACTAATTATTTTAGATGATATTTATCTGAGTTTTTATATAAATAAGTGTTTTTAAATCAATCCAAAGTAATAAGCGGGGATCATATGGTGAGTGTTTCCTAGCTACAATACTCTTCTCATATTTACAAATCTCTTCTCATTGTTGTTTACAATCTCATTCTTCATCACAGAAAAATCACAAAAACAAGTCTTTATTTTTAGTCCTCCTATTCACACCAATTGACAATATTTGTCAAAACCATTTGAACTCATCCATTTCTTAAAGGAATATTAATTAATATAAGATCACAATCCCTGTGGAGACGAACATTATTTACCACTTCATTGCTTGTGCGATCGGTATACTTGCCGGGAAGCATCAAGTTTTTGGCGCCGTTGCCGGGGATTGGCATTTCTTATATCAATTGATTTTGATTTTAAGATTGGATTTTTATTTTTATTTTTAATTTTTTTTTGTGATATTTGGAACAAGTGCTACTAATCTCTTTTCTAAGTTGTATGCGAGGTAAAGAGCTCGGGTTTCCACTTGATTTGGAGATCACAAAAACAGAGAAGAAAAACAGAAAATTTGCTCGGAAGAAGCTTGCATTCAATGAGTTAGATATTCTGCTAGAAGAAGATAAAATGGAAAACAACAATGATGCTGACAATCCACTCATGGACACTATTCTGACTCCATTATTCAACAGACCCAATGCGAGCATTGTCCATCCTGAAGTGGGCAACAATCGTTGGGAGCTCAAGTCCGATAATATTCGACTGGTGGAGAGAGCTCAGTTTGGTGGAGAGGATGATGAAGACCCTCATAGATTCATAAACAGATTCCTGATGATCTGTGATTCTACAAAACATCCTCAAGTGTCTAATGATGCAGTCTGGCTGAGACTATTTCCTTTTGCTCTTAAAGGAAAGACTCTTAGTTGGTTGGAAAGGCAGCCTGCAGCAAGCATCTCAACCTGGGATGATTTATCACAGAAGTTCTTTGCTCAGTTCTTCTTGATGGAGAAGTATAACCAGATGGTGAATGATATCACCAATTTCACTCAATCAGAGGGTGAATCAATGTGTGAAGCATGGAACCAGTTCAAGGACTTGATGAGAAGGTGTCCTCAGTATAACTTGACTGCTGGTAGTCAGGTTAGAATCTTTTTCAATGGTTGCAAACCTGAGATTCGGATGGTGCTAAATGGTGCAGCAGGGGGCACTATTAAAACTCTAAGAGAAAATGAGACTCTTGAGTTGATTGAGAGGATGGCTGCCAACGAAAACCAAGCGCTGTCATCCAAGCCTAAAAGAGGTATCCTTAAACTGGAAGGCAATGATGTGGTGATGGCTGAAAACAATTTGTTATCTCAGCAGGTAGCAAACTTGACATCAAGGCCTGATAAGATGCAATTTTCTAGCGTTCAAGCTCAAGCTGCAGCAGTTGTATGTGAATATTGCAAGGAAGATCATGAATCCAACGAATGTCCTACTCTGCTAGCCGATGATCCTCCTCAGCGGGTACATGTAAATGGTGTATGGTATGATAAGAGACCCTCACCACAAAATGTTCCAAGAACTCAGAATTTTCCTTCTGGGAACAATAACTTCCAAAGGAGGGTGCAAGGTACTGGTCTTGACTTCAAGTCCAATAACTATTTGCAGCCACCGCCAGTTCAACCAAAAGAACCTTCTGAGTTAGAGAAGCTAGTGGGACAAATGGCCCAACATTCCAATGCTTTTATGGAAGAGACTCAGGCAAACACTAGAAACACACAAGCCTCTATCAGAAATTTGGAGAACCAGATTGGCCAGATAGCTAAACAAATGGCCGAAAGAACTCCAGGCACTTTCCCTAGCAATACAGTCACTAATCCGAAGGATGACTGTATGGCTATAACTACAAGAAGTGGCAAGGTGGTGGCAGCTCCAACAAAGCCAACCATAAATGCGGAAGCTACTGGAAAGGGTAAGGAGGTAGAGGAAGAAGTGGTTATTCCTTCTGATGTTGAGACACCTGTTCAAAAGGGTGAGGAAGAGGAGCCACAAATAATTGTTGCTTAGAAAAAGAAATTCGAGCTGAAGCCAGAATATGTGAGAGCTATGGCACCCTACCCAGAAAGGTTTAAAAAAGACGCTCAGAAACAGCAGTATGCAAGATTTTTGGATATCTTCAAGAAGTTGCATATAAATATTCCTTTTGCTGAAGCTTTGGCTGGCATGCCAAATTATGCAAAATTCATGAAGGACTTGTTGTCAAGGAAACATAAGCTACAGGAGTGCCAAACAGTAACACTCACTGAAGAGTGTAGTGCCATTATACAAAAAGAAGTTCCCACCTAAACTCAGTGATCCGGGAAGCTTCAATATTCAAATTGCTATCGGTAACACTGATGTTGGCAGAACACTATGCGATCTTGGGGCAAGTATTAATCTGATGCCATTATCTGTTTGCAAATCTCTAGGAATTACTGAGTTAAAACCCACTATGGTTTCTCTACAACTCGTTGATAGATCTTTGAGGAGACCAAGTGGTATTATTGAAGATGTGCTTGTTAAGGTGGATAAGTTCATCTTCCCAGCTGATTTTGTGGTATTAGATATGGAAGAGGGTACTGAAATGCCCCTATTATTGGGAAGACCTTTCTTGGCAACTGCTCGAGCCATGATTGATGTTGAGAATGGCAGGTTAGAGTTAAGAATGAATGATGAGACCATCACCATCAATGTTTTTGACTCTATGAAACAATCTTCTGATAAAGGCGATTGCTTTCTTCTTGATATTCTATATCAAGTAGTGGAAGAAGAAGTATTTTCCATTCAACAATCTAAGGAAGAGCTTCAGGTGCATGAAATGGTTCCTTTCAAGGAGGAAAAAAATAAGTTATTTGAAGTCCTTGAAACGAAATATTCTGACAAGGAAAATGGTACACCAAAGGTAGAGTTGAAGGAGCTTTCAGAAACTCTCAAGTATATCTTCTTGGGTGAGAAGGAGACTTACCCTGTTATCATTAACAAGGGATTGTCTACTGAACAAGAGACGAAACTGGTTGAGGTGTTGAAAGAACACAAGACTGCCATAGGGTGGTCAATTTCTGATTTAAAGGGTATTAATCCCTCATTTTGTACACATAAAATACTCATGGAAGATGAGGTTCGGCCAGTGAGACAACCTCAAAGAAGGCTTAATCCAACAATGAAGGAAGTTGTAAGGAAGAAGTTGTGAAACTTCTTGATGCTGGCATGATTTATCCAAATTTGGATACTGCTTGGGTGAGCCCAGTGCAGACTGTTCCGAAAAAGGGAGGTATCACAGTAGTTCACAATGAGAAAAATGAGCTGATTCCAACTAGAACCATTACTGGTTGGAGAATGTGTGTGGACTACCAAAGACTAAATACAGCTACAAGGAAGGACCACTTTCCACTTCCTTTTGTTGATCAAATGTTGGAAAGATTGGCAGGTCACAACTATTACTGCTTCTTGGACGGATATTCTGGATACAACCAAATTCCAGTGGCACCGGAGGACCAAGAGAAAACAACTTTCACTTGCCCTTTTGGAGTTTTTGCTTATAGACGAATGCCATTAGGTCTATGTAATGCACCTGCTACATTTCAAAGGTGCATGCTCTCCATCTTTTCTGACATGGTGGAGAAAAACCTGGAGGTATTTATGGACGACTTTTCTGTTTTTGGCTCTTGCTTTGATTTATGTTTGCTAAACTTAATTCATGTGTTAAAAAGATGCCAAGAAACAAATCTTGTACTAAACTGGGAAAAATGTCATTTTATGGTACAAGAGGGAATTGTTTTAGGACATAAGATATCTGGAAAAGGGATTGAGGTAGATGAAGCTAAATTAATGTTAATTGAGAAATTACCTCCCCCTAATAATGTGACTAGTATTAGAAGTTCTCTAGGACATGCTGGGTTTTACAGGAGATTTATAAAAGATTTTTCTAAAATAGCTAAATCTTTAAGCCAACTTTTAGAAAAAGATTCTGAATTTCGATTTGATGATGCATGTCTTAAAGCTTTTAATCTGTTAAAAGAAAAGCTCACCACAGCTCCCGTTTTAGTAGCTCCTGATTGGAGTTTACCCTTTGAGCTTATGTGTGATGCTAGTGCCTATGCTATAGGTGCAGTCCTTGGACAACGGAGGAATAAATTGTTACATGTTATATACTACTATAGCAAAATTTTAAATGAGGCACAAGTAAATTATGCCACCACTGAGAAGGAAATGCTAGCAGTAGTATATGCATTAGATAAATTTAGATCTTATATGTTGGGGTCCAAGGTTATTGTGTTTACTGACCACTCTGCTATCAAGTATTTAATGAATAAGCAGGATGCAAAGCCTCGGTTGCTCAGATGGATCCTCTTATTTCAAGAGTTTGACATGGAGATCCGGGATAAAGCTGGAGTGGAGAACAATGTGGCAGATCACTTGTCACGAATTCAGGAAAAAGAACTACAAGAAGGTCCTGAGAAGGAAATAAATGACCATTTTCCTGATGAAAGAGTAATGGCGATATTCGTACCTCCTTGGTTTGCAGATATTGCCAATTACAAGGTGATAAAAGAGTTGCCTCCCAATCTTACAAGGCAACAATAGAAGAAGTTCCTCAGAGATGCAAGGAGGTTTCATTGGGATGATCCTTACTTGTATTTCCACTGTGCTGATGGAATTATAAGACGGTGTGTGCCCGAATTTGAAGTTCAAGAGATCCTGTGGCACTGCCATGCATTTGACTACGGAGGACACTTTGGAGGCAATAGAACTGCTCAAAAAGTTCTACAGAGTGGTTACTACTGGCCTACGTTATTCAAGGATGCAATGGATTTTGTTGAAAGATGTGACAGATGCCAAAAAGTGGGCAATATTTCCCGCAAAGATGAAATGCCTCTGAATAATATATTAGAGGTAGAGCTCTTTGATGTGTGGGGGATAGATTTCATGGGACCATTTCCTTCATCATATTCCAATCAATACATCCTTGTTGCTGTTGAGTATGTCTCTAAGTGGGTTGAGGTTGTTGCTCTTCCCACTAATGATGCTAAGGTGGTTGTCAATTTCTTGAGAAAGAACATCTTCACAAGGTTTGGTGTACCAAGGGCAATAATCAGTGATGGAGGGACTCATTTTTGCAACAAACAGATTGATAACTTACTGGTTAAGTATGGTGTTAAACATAAGGTTGCTACACCTTACCATCCTCAAACCAGCGGACAAGTGGAGGTCTCTAACAGAGAGTTGAAGAGGATTCTTGAGAAGACCGTTGGAAATTCTTTGAAGGATTGGTCTAAGCGGCTAGATGATGCTTTGTGGGCTTATAGGACTGCTTTCAAAACTCCTATTGGCACGTCACCTTATCAGATGGCATTTGGAAAATCTTGCCATCTACCTGTGGAGCTGGAACATAAAGCTTTCTGGGCTATCAAATTCCTAAATTTCGATTCAACAAAAGCTTTTGAGAAAAGACAGGCTCAATTGAGTGAGCTTGATGAGTTCAGAAATTCTGCGTATGAGAGTGCCAGAATCTACAAAGATAAAACAAAGAAGTGGCACGATAGGAAGATTCAGCACAAGGAATTTGTGCCCGGACAACAGGTATTATTGTACAACTCTCGACTGAGGTTGTTTTCAGGTAAACTCAAATCTCGTTGGTCTGGTCCTTTTATTGTGAAAAACGTGTTCCCATATGGTACGGTTGAAATCTCCCCTCTCGATGCAGAAAGACCATTCAAGGTCATTGGGAGTATATTAAAATTCTATCATGGAGAACATGTGAATAGGGACACAGCACTTAAAATTGACGCTGTTGGCGTCATATCCACGCT